GGGTTTGGCACTGGGGATACAGAAAAGCTCCAGACAAGCTTCCTGCCTTTATGGAGCTCACAAAGTAGGCTGGGCTATTAGGCACTAAGACAAATCACTGTCATACAATGGGTACTCGCCATTCCTGCACAGGAAAGGGTCACTCACCCCTACCACCAAACCTAGGAACGGCCACATGCTGCTCAAAGGGTCAACTCAGCTGCCTTTCACTGTCCTCAAGTGATGGCGGGTGGGCGCTCAGAGAAGACCAAAGGCTCAAGGCCAGGGGACTAGGCCAGCCGGGGCTTCCCAACAGACCCCCATCCTGAGTCCGACACAAGAGCCCGCAATGACCCCCACAGGGCGAAACAAGCCGCTCTCACCAGCCCTGGTAGGTATGGCTGGGCCCTCCCCCTGGTCCACATGAGGCCAGCCTACACCATCCCCACTTAGACCGCCCCACTCAGGCCAAATTCCTGGGAAAGGGGCTGGGAATCTGTGTAGAGCGGGGGAGATTGTTCTCATATAGGTGAGAGATGATGCCGACCTGGCCTGGGGAGGGTGGAGACGACACATTGAAGGAAACTGATTAGACGGAAGGTGAGATGACAGAGTGCGGGGCCATGGAAACACGTGTCGCCAAGACAGAGAACGAAGCAGAAGGAAGCCATTCCGGGAGTCGGGGGACAGGCAGTGAGGTCGGCTGGGGTCAGGTTGGGTTGGAAGTACCTACAGGCCATCCAAGCTCACATGACTGTACTGGTTTGAAACTCCGGAATTCAAGCAAAGAGACCCCTGCTTAACTTTAATTCGATGGCCCTCTCTGAATATAGACATCCTGGCCCTGTCACCTCTGAAGCTTCGCCATTCCAGATGATGCCAAATGTGATTTCAAATACATTTCATCCGTTCCGAGCAAGTCTTCTCTGATTCGGAAACACAAAGGCTATCACTGCCAGCGTGTGTGGACCAGGACCAGCCCTCTGGAGAGGAGGGGCTCTTATGGGCCCTGGTACGTTTTGTGTTTAAGCACACATGTGTTCTTCATGAGTGCCCCCAAGGTGTGGAAGAAAAAGAAAATCTCATTGTGTGGTAGTGACAAAATGCTGATGAAGCAAACTATCAACAGCCCTCTGGAGGAATAACTTTCAAGGTAGGATGAACTGCGTGTATGGAATTTGGAAACAATGGTTTTTTGGAAGTGGCTGAAAGCCACAGAGACAACCGGGAGAGCCAGGCGACATCGGCCCCGTGGTGTCTAGCGTGGGCCCCAAGGCTTGGTGACTTCAGGGACTTCATCATCACGGCACCGTCCGCCTCATTGTGTCAAGAAAAGGTGCCGATTAGAACAAGTTTCAGAGGAAAAATACGGCCTCCAGTGAATTGAACAGGCTAATTTAAACTTTGGCAAACTGGCTCACTCCGGAGCTCATTAGAAATTTTCCTCAACAGCAAGTAATGAATAACTTTCTTAATCACTTTCTGCTTATAAATGTAATACATGTTCACTGTAAAAGAAGAGGAAATGTGGGCAAGTTTGGAAGAGAAAATAAAAAACCAACCATTATCTCGCCGCCAAGGATAACGACAATGAAAATGTGGTGTATTTCTGGATAAATGAGCTGATTCTTGTCTAGTGCCTACGACAGTGGTTTGGGACGTGGTAACCACCCAACAAATGTTACTGGTTATCATTATTGTCATTGCTAGTAGGCTTAGAACAGTCTTTTCCAATGCTATCCCTCCCCCAGCCCCCCACCCCCGACAGACCCCGGTGTGTGATGTTCCCCTCCCTGTGTCCGTGCGTTCTCATTGTTCAACTCCCACTTATGAGTGAGAACACGCAGTGTTTGGTTTTCTGTTCCTGTGTTAGTTTGCCGAGAATGATGGTTTCCAGCTTCATCCACGTCTCTGCAAACGACAAGAACTCATTCTTTTTCATGGCTGCATATGTGCCGCATTTTTAAAATCCGGTCTAACATTGATGGGCATTTGGGTTGGTTCCAAGTCTTTGCTATTGTGAACAGTACTGCAATAAACATACGTGTGCATGTGTTTTTATAGTAGAGTGATTCATAATCCTTTGGGTATATACCCAGTAATGGAATTGCTGGGTCAACGAGTTGATGGGTGCAGCAAACCAGCATGGCACTTGTATACCTATGTAACAAACCTGCACATCGCACACATGTACCCCAGAACTTAAGGTATAATAATGGAAAAACGAAAGAAAGAGAGAGAGAAAGAAAAGAAAGAAAGAAAGAAAGAAAGAAAGAAAGAAAGAAAGAAAGAAGGAAGAAAGAAAGTCTTTTCCATTCCAACAATCAAATAAAGTTCATCTAAATTTTCTTCCAATGTTTTCACTTTTATTGTGTCTATATTAGGTCAATACATTCTAAACTCTTCAGATACTATAGCAATATTTCTCTATATAGCATTCCCCCTCCCCCGTGCTTCTACTGAGACACGTATCGGCAGCCTGAGAAGTCGGTGTTCCTTTGTCCACACCCATCGCTGTGCATCCGTTTCATTTCATTCGCTCCACAGTCAGCCGCACCTCAGAGTTGTCCTTCAAAGGGTGAGAGACTAAGACAGTTATCCAGTGACTCTTGGTCGCATCAGTGGGGGGCTGTGTCCAAGGGTACAAATTCCCCCGAGCTTCCAGGCCCACCCTGTGCAGGGCATAGGAAAAAAAGGAGATGTGTCGGGAGCTGCAGGAGGGGCGCTGGCACAGGGCACAGAGGTGCCCATCCCAGCAGCTGAGAGTCAGAAGGCACGTGCAGGGGGCCCAGAGGCTCAGCAGGATCTGAAATGTGAGAAGATGTCTACAAACACAGAGGTGCAGGAGGACGCCGGAGATGACAGTCACTGGAGGGGCTCTGAGACGTGCATAGAAAACAGGACAGAGCTTGGTAGCAGCACTCATTTGTCGCCCTGCCACACAGAGCCTGTGTTTTCTCCTTGACGGCCCCATCTCAGTAGGACCCAATAATGCCAACGCCTGGAGATCCCCCTGGACAATGGTCTTTGTCCTCCACATCTGGTCCTCCCCTACACCTGGGGCTTGGACCTGCTAAGGAGCTCTTTCCAGGTTTCTAGACACCTGTGGAATCCCTTCACCCATCCTTCCCCGCCAGTGTGGCTGCTCTCCAGCCCACTCTCATCCTGCTCTCCCGCCAAGTGCCTCGGCTCCAGGGGGACGAGGCTTTCCCTGGGCTGCTGCCTTCCCTGCTCCCTTCCCAGTCCCCAGAAGGGTGCCGGCTGCAGAGGCCTCCAGAGCAGAGCCTTGCTCACCGCATCAGCTCCAGCTGGAGGAGGTTCCCCCTACCTCCTGTACCCCAACCCCTTCTTAAAGCAGCAGGGGCGGAAGCCGGAGCCTGCTTTGGAAAATGGCATGCTTTTATTGCTGTGTCTGCATTGACTTTTTAGCGCTCTAAGAATGTCCCCGCAGTCCTGCCGCCCTCTGCCAGCCCCAGCCCTCCAGCCTCTGTTTCCGTGTTGGGGAAGCCTTTCTCAGGGTCACTCAGCTGTCTCAGGACTGGATGTGGCACAGACATACGTAGGTAAAAGCTGCTACACGGAAGACTGGAGGTGCGGGAAGTGCATTCGCTTTAAGCCTAGAGGTGGGAGCCGTGTCCGGGGTCCTTTCCTGGGGGTGTGCATGTTACCAAAATACCAAGGGTTTGGTCTAGGTCCTGCTGCTGGCCGCACAGAAAGCCAAAGACTGAGACGAAGACAATTACCAGGGAAGACAGCTTTAATTGGGTGCTGCAGCCGGGGGATGGGAGTTAAGTCTCAAATCCATCTGCCTGACTAAAACTAAGGGTTTATATAGCAGGGAAGAAATGCACCAATGTGTAGGAAAACAGGAACTCGGGAGGGCCCAGAAAGCAATCCTGATGAATGAGGGGGTCCAGCGTCTCATTGCCTGGATGTGATCTGGTGAGTTTCGGTTCTTTGATACTTTGAGAGGCCCCAAGGTCATTTCCTGAGGAAGGAATTCAGATAAAACAACTGTAAGGTTCAAGCTTGAAGACCAGAAGGGTCAGTTTCTATGTTTGTCAAAAAGAACAGCCTACGGGACGATTGGATCGGTTTCATGCCCAGCCCAGGGTGCAGGATGTGGGAAGCCTGAGTTGGCCTGGTGAGCAGCCCAGACACCCGGGACGGAGGAGTGCAGCCTCTCCTCCCACAGACTTGTGAACAGGGTGTGGAGACAGACACCCAGCTCCTAGGACCATGCCACCCCCACCCCTGCCTACCTCTCGCAGCACCTTTTCTGTGGATCTGACGCCCTTCCAGACACAGAAGTAGGCCAGCACCCGGCAGGCCAGCAGACCACAGGGTCACCTCCCAGCTGAGGGCCCTCCGCACCTCCGACGCCGCCAGGGGAGCAAGGGAAGGAGGGAGAGAGGAGATCCCATGAGGTCTGTGCTGGGAGACAAGGGAACTATGGGGTCCCCTCAAGGAGTCCTGGCTCCCTTCCCTCCCCCAGCTCTGGTCCCGCTGGTGCCTCCCATCCACGTGGGCTGGACCTGGGGCCAGGGAGCCCCTGGGCGATTGGGGGCCCGACCTGGGGCCAGGGAGCCCCTGGGTGACGGGAGGCCACCCCCGAACCACCCGACCTGCAGCTCCAGCTCCCCCACCTGGCTGGGCGACCAGGACAGGGACCGAAGCTGCTGAACCCAGTTAGAGGCCTGGCCCCGGGGTCTGTCCTGGGCACTCCCCCAAGGACAGGCAGGGCAGGCAGAGTCTGGGACGATGGCCGCACAGCCCTGGCCCCATGTTCCCAGGCCCGCCTTGCTCCTCGGTGTGAGGGAGACCAGGGGGACGGGACAGGCTGGGCCCCGCCGTGCCTGACTCCCTGCAGGGCTCCCGGGACAAGGGCCCGGCGGACAGCCGGCTGCTCAGGGGTGAGGGGTCCAGGCTGGCATCGTGGCCACCTTCCGGCCCGGGCTCTCTTGGGGTGGGGCGGGCGGGGAGAACCAGTCACGTGCTCCAGGGCTCGCCCAGGGTCTCTCAGGGCCGGAAGTAGGACCCCTGTGCGCAGGCGCCCTGAGGATCCCAGGCTGCCAGTCGCACGCACGCCAGGGGGCGGAACTTCCTGCAGCCTCACTGCCTCCGCGTCTTCGTGGGCCCTGACTTTGTCTCTGAGCACACCACAGAGGCCCAGGAGCCATGCGGGCCGCAGGCCAGGGCACAGGGGGTGCGGCGGGCGATGCTGATGGCCCAGGAGGCCCTGGCGTTCCTGGCGGCCCAGGAGAGGCGGGTGCTGCGGGCGACGGAGGTCCCCAGGGTGCAGGGGCAGCAAGGGCCTCGGGGCCGGGAGGAGGCGCCCCGCGGGTGCCGCGTGGCAGTGCTGCTTCTGCACAGAATGGAAGCTGCCAGTGCGGGGCCAGGGGGGCGGAAAGACGCCTGGTTCAGTTGTATCCTGTTGGGGACAACAGGGTCAAGAGGTGGGGGGCAGGGCCAGGAGGTGGGGGAGGGCAGGGCCAGGTGCAGGAGGTAGGGTTTGGGAGATGGGGGTAAGGGGCCGGGTGGGGGGGGAGTGGGGGCTGGGAGTTGGAGGTGGGGGGGTGTGGCTCGGAGGAAGGGAGCAGGTGGGGGATGGGAGGTGGAGCGTGTGCACGGTGGGTGCTGGGCGATGGGGTGACGGGCAAAGCGCCAGGAGGTAGGGGGTCTTGGGTATGAGAAAGGATCAGGAGTTGGGGGGAAGCGTGCAAGGTGGGAGCCGGTGGCTGGGGTGTGGGCTGGATGGGGCTGGGGGGGTTCAAGTGATGGGGGGACGGCTGATGCGGCAGGGGTCATGGTGGGGAGGGCCTTGGAAGGGCACACAGGAGTCAGCTTGGGGTACAACAGAGGAAAGTGGGGAATCAAGACAGCTGGGTGGGGTTGCTTCAGGACCTGGGCCAGTGCGTGGGAAGACAGCCTGTGGGGATGAGATGGGCACCGGCCAAGTCCTAGGCATAGTCCAAGCTCCTTAACCGGGTCCCCACCGGGAACATCACGATGCCTTTCTCATCGCCCATGGAAGCGGAGCTGGTCCGCAGGGTCCTGTCCCCGGATGCCACACCGCTCCCCCGACCAGGGGCGGTTCTGAAGGACTTCACCGTGTCCGGCAACCTACTGTTTATGTCGGTTCGGGACCAGGACAGGGAAGGGACTGGGCGGACGATGGTGGTGGGTTGGGGGCTGGGATCCGCCTCCCCGGAGGGGTAGAAAGCTAGAGACCTGGGAACACCCCAGCACAGGGTCTCAGAACAGAGACCTGGTACACCAGGTCCGCCGCCACCCGAGGGAGCCCGGGGAGATGGGTGCAGAGGTGTCGCCTTTAACCTGATGTTCTTCGCCCCTCACATTTAGCCGACTGACTGCTGCAGACCACCGCCAACTCCAGCTCTCCATCAGCTCCTGTCTCCAGCAGCTTTCCCTGTTCATGTGGATTACGCAGTGCTTTCTGCCTGTGTTTTTGGCTCTGCTTCACTCAGGACAGAGGCGCTAAGCCCAGCCTGGTGCCCCTTCCTAGGTCGTGCCTCCTCCCCTAGGGGATGGTCCTTGCACGAGCGGCCACTTCATTGTGGGGGCCTGATTGTTTGTCGCTGGAGGAGGCCGGCTTACATGTTTGTTTCTGTAGGAAATAAAAGTGAGCTACAATTCCGTGTCTGAGTCTCTTCTCGGCGAGCGAAGGCACCTTCAGACTTGCGTGCCCTTGTCCTCGGGTTGCAGGGGAGGCTCTGGGATTCAGAGATTGAAGTAGCACAAGGTAATGGAAGACAATTTGGGAAATGGGGGAAAATGAAAAGCCACTGGGTCCCGCCGTTCAGCTTTAAGTACTGTGGACATTTTAGAATACTTTCCTCAATATGCTTGCATTTATATGTTAAATATATGACAGTAGCATGTATGATGTTTTTCCAGCTCAGCATTAAGTTTGTTCCCAAATTGTCTTCATTGAACATATATGAGCTTTTGTGCTTTCTAAAAATGCTTCAAAAACATGTGCTTGAACAGATGCATAAAACCAGCATTATCATTTCACCATTAAACATGTGATATGGGCCGGGCATGGTGGCCCACACCCGTATTCCCAGCGCTGTGGGAGGCTCAGGTGGGAGGATGGCTTGAGACCTGCAATTGGAGGCCACTCTGGGCAATGTAGCGAGATTCTGTCTCTATGAGAATCATTTAAAAATTAGGGGTGGAGGGCGTGGTGGCAGGCACCTGTAGTCCCAGTAACTCAGGAGGCTGACGTGGGAGGGTGGCTTGAGTCCAGGATCTCGAGGCTGCAGTGAGCTATGAATGCACCCCTGAGCTCCAGCCTTGGCGACAGAGCGAGACCCTGTCTCTAAAATAATAATAATAGTAATAATGTGAACAACGTAAAATGTTTGTAAACACGGAATGTTAACGCAGATTCTCTTACCGCTTGCAGAGTCCAGTGAACAAGAGCGATGTCTGCTATTAAGAAACGGACTTTCTGCCATGCTTGGTTTAGGGGAAGACGTACAGGCTCCTGCCTTTAAGGGCACTGCTTCCCTTTGGGGGCAGAAAGCAGGGCCTTTTAATGGGGGACTTGGCATGAATGGCACACAGGGGAGGGAGCAGGCAGCTGCGGGGTCTCTGTGACTTGCTGAGTTGCCTTGTCTACCGGGTGGTCACGCTGGCACCATCTTGGGCAGAGCTAGTTTGGAAAGTGGCTGTTGTTTGTCAAAGCAAAAGAGACATATTCTTGAGCTGTCTTCTGGGATGCTCTTAAGTTGCTTGGAAACAAGATCCCTTTGAGTCTTGCTTTCAGGATTTATTCAGTGGGACCAGAGCATATTTTAATGTAAGATTAAAGTATTAGTTGACAATCTCCAGTGCTTGGCAAGGCTGTAGTTGGAAACGAGGACTCATACGCTGTCAGTAGCAGTGGTAGTAGCATCTATTTGGACATTTATTTGGCATTTTCTATTAAGGGAAAAATGTGCATACCCTTTCACCCACCTTGAGGAATCCATCTGAGAAACTCCTGGATAGGCAAGTGAGGTCGAGTCCACCAGCATCTTAATGACACCATCACGTAAATAGTTTTTAGAATGTAAATGTTCATCAGCTGCAGAAAAATTAAATAAATCACTGCACAACTGCCCCAGGGGAAAAGTGTGAGGAAGCTAGAGAGAGAGCATGGTAGATAGTCGGGTACTAGCATAGAAAGAGGTTAAAACAAGTCACCAGATCTCTGCATATAGGCTATGGCACACTCTTGTTTTGGCAGTGTGCTCGCGCCATGTGAGCATGTAGGGATGTGCACAGTAACTCCCTGGACAGCCACCTCCACGCTCAAGAGTGCTCATCGCTGGACAATAGCGTTAGGGAAATAAAACCTTCACCTTTTAAACCTCAGACTTCCATGCTGAAATATTTTCATCAAGCATGTATTACTTTGGAAATACACGTCTTTACTTTGTAAAAGAAGAGTCTGCTCGAATAAGAAACCATCTCTCCTAGTCCTGTTCTTTCAAAACATTGGAAGTGGATTTTGAGTGTGTTGACATGTCTGTGCCACAGCAGAGGGCATCTGTTGGTTTTGTCAGCCAACCTCTGTTCCCCTGTACCAGTGTCCATATTTCCCCTAGAACCACTCCCTCCCTTTCCCTTCAGCAGTTTTGATTCTGCTGGAGTTGACTTCACCCCAGATTCCAGGTGGAATGGCTCATCCTTCCTCTCTCACCATGCGATGCCAGCTTTCCGCCACCTCCCGCCAGGAGTAGATGCGGTCTGAGGCCCTCACCAGAAGCAGATGCTGGCACCACCCGTCTTATAGCTGCAGAACTATGAGCCAAATAAAACTCTTTATGAATTTCTCAGCATCAGGTACCCCTCTATAGCAACACAAATAGATTAAGACAGGGATTGAGTCCTTGCTGATAAGCCCTCAAAAGCTGTGATGGTAGAAAAAGCAGTGAAGGAGTCTTCTGTGGATACGAATCCAAATAGGGAGGGGTGAGCCTGCAAGGGAGTCCCAGGAGGAAAGGGAGGAGGAGAACGGGCACAGGGACCAGCTCTTTCCAGATAGGGCTCCCCAACCTGGTCCACAAGTGTGGGTTTCATTCACCCAGAGCATGAGTCTTTAGTTTCGTTGTCCCATGACCCCGTCCCGCCACCTCTGCCCAAACATGGCCCAGGTGCAGCCGGCCACCCTAATCCCACGGCCGGATGGCTGGAGCTGGTAGCTTTTAAACCCAAGTCAGGTGGCCTCAGTCCTCTGCTCTAAGCTGTCCAGTGGGCTTCCCTCACTCACAGTGAAAGCCAGAGCCCTGATGGCAGCCTGCAGACCCGACATGATCGAGCGTTTCCTCTCTGGCCTTCTCACCTCCCACACTTCCCCTTGCTCACGCTGACGCAGCCACACAGGGCCCCTGGCCCTTTCTGGAACACACCAGGCACACTCCTGCCTCACGGCCTTTGCACTAGCTTTCTCCTGTCGAGAAATCTCTTCTTCCAGCGTTGCACACAATTGTCACCCTCTCAGAGAGGCTTTTCTGGCCAGCCTCTTTAATACCGCATCCGGCCTCCCCCGCCTTCTGCCTGGTCCTGTCTGTCACTCCCTCTCCTTTCAGGGCCCAGGTGTGCCGGAGACATCCTGGCCAGGGTGACCTGCCCTGCAACACCCATTTCAGGGCTCAGCCCGGGGACCCAGGCTTGAGCCAGCCGCTCCTCAGGACAGGAGGACGGCTCAAGACTGAGAAGCCCCCTCCTCACCCATTCCACCACCCATAGCTTTCACTGGGCACGAGGCTGACGATCTTCCAGTTTCCGTCGCCTTGAGACATCTCGGTCCAGAGCCGTGAGAAATTGGGGGAGAAGGGTTCCCCTGGAGCTGAGCTCTCTATGGGGGAGCAGCCCCTCCCGTGCGAAAAGCCGTCCCATTTCCCAGCTGGGCCTCTTCCCTTCCACACACACTCACCCTCGCTTCTCCCCACAGCCACCTGTTACAAACCCCACGCAGGCTTTCTCTCAGAAGCCAAATGCCCGGCGCACGAGCAGCACCCTCTTCGTCCTCCTTCCTCTCCACGGCTAGGGTGGCGGCCCTTCCCACTGTGGTGGACTGTGGCCTCTGCCGTCCCCACTGGGGGCGGGGTGCGCCCCATTCCTCCTGGCCCCAATCAGGTCAGCGTTTTGCCTCTTGCAGACCCTAAGAGAAAGAGAAACCGGCCAGACAAGCAGGAGGAGGAGGCTAAGGGAAACTGCGAGCAAAAGGAGGACCGAGGTGAACCGAAGTCCACAGGCTGTAGTAAAACATTGCACGTGCCGCGGCGCGTGTCGGGTGCTCGACGGCCTGTGAATCTCCAGCACCCTTTGGGAGGCTGGAGGCGGGCGATCACCAGGTCAGGAGATCGAGACCCTCCTGGCCTCAACAACCCACCGCTGCCAACACCCCTTCTTACTAGGAGAATACCAAAACAAAACCCAGCCGCCGCCGCGCGTGGGCGTGCGCGCCTGCAGTGTCCAGCTACCTCACGGGAGCTGACGCAGAGAATGGCATTGAACCTGGGAGGGTGGAGCTTGAGTGAGCCAAGATCGCGCCTCTTTTCACAAGTTTTTGTTTCCCTTAAAAACCATGGAAGTTTAATGTCAACCTGGAGATTATAGACGTTATGAACAGGAGGTTAAAGAGTCAAGAAACCTAAGGGTGCAGTAAGTTATGTAAGGTGGACTCTATAGGCTAACTATGGCAAGCATAGGGGTA